TAGTCTATCAATTGTTAAGAAAGGAATATTGCAGTATTCAACTATAATTGTGAATTTGTTTATTTCTTTTTTAAAATTCTATCAGGTTGGGTAATTTTTATTATTCCCCCTTCTAGTTCACTGATTATTTCCTCTTTCCTCTTTATTCTGCTGCTGTTTAGCTCATCCACTGAGTTTTTATATCAATTATTGTATTTTTAAGTTCTAGAATTTCCATTTAGTAATTTATTCCTTCTATTTCTTGCTGAGACTTTCTATTATTTTCCTGAGACATTCTAGTTTTACATTTTTTCCGAGTGTGTTACTAATTGCTTCTTGAAGCATTTTTATGAGGGCTACTGTAAAATAATTGCAGATAATTCTAACATTTCTGTCATCTTGATAAGGGCATCTATTGTTTTGTCTTGTTCCATTGGAGATCCTGGTATGATGAGTGATTTTTAAATTAAAACCTGAATATCTGTGGTATTATGAGACTCTGGATTTTATTTAAACCTCTGTTTTCACTGGTTTCCTGTGACATTGCTCTGGCAGGGGAAAGAGGATCACCTCTCATTACTGCCATGTGGGGATAGAAGTTCATGCTCCAATTTAACCTCTATGGACACTCAAGGAAGCTCCTCATTACTGCTGGCTGGTGGACAGTGTTTTGGCTCCCCAGTAGGGCTCCACTCATACCTCCCTGGCTGGAAGGAGTAGGAATGCCTTATTATCGCATACCCTATGGCCTCCACTGATGCCATGGGGAGAGTCACACTACTGCTGTGACAAAGGTCCTGACCCTGCACTAGGCCTCCTCTCACATGCCACCATTTAGGGAAAGAGGGAGGGAGAGGCACCTCTTCACTGCTGGGCAGAGGTAAAACTCCAGGCTCCCACATAGTCTCCACTGATACTGTGGTGTGGATACTTCTTCTCACCAAGCAGGAATAAAGTCCTGATTTTTCTATTCAGCATTTTCTGACACCACCCTGGAGGAATGGTGGAGGTAAGGAATAGTGTTGGGGGCCTAATCACAGCCTAATTAGGGTAGAAATCTAGACTCCCCATTAGGCCTTTCCAGGTATGAGTGGAGATGGGGCTACAGTGTTTTTTTGTTGTTGTCCTTGCTGTTTTGTTTTGTTTTGTTTTTCTCTGTTGTGTCTGACTGGAGTAGAGTGGTTCTGGTCTAAAAGTCCTCTGTCTTGCTGGGCTACTCATTTCCTATTCCTTGGCTAAAGAGAACAGTCTTTTGTTGTGGCTTTTTTTGTCTGTGCCCATTGGCATTTCTAGGTTATCATCTTCCTTATTCCCAAGTCTGGAATAGCTGCGGCAACAAGAAAGCCCAGGAACCCAGGGAACTCAGCACTGTTTTGTTCCTTGGTCCCTAAGTCCCCAGCCAATCTACCTTCTTTTCTTCCCTTTAGAGCCTTTCTACCTTTGTTTTATATATAATGTCCAAAGTTTTCCATTGTACTTAGAGGGAAAAAATAGGAAAACATGTACCTGCTACACCTTTTTGAAGCAGAACCACTCATTTGGTTTTTAGGGAGTTATTCTCAAATTTTATTGTGAAAAATAATGTTCCAGGAAGCAATATTTTTGTCCCAGGTTTAAAATAATTAAACACTGGCTTCTGTTTTCTTTTCTTTTTTTCTTTTTCTTTCTTTCTTTCTTTTTTTTTTTTTTTTTTTTAAGCACAGGGTTTCACTATATTGCCCAGGCTGGTCTTGAACCCTGGGCCCAAGCAATTCTCCACCTTAACTTCCCAAAGTGCTAGAATTACAAGAATAAGCCCCCATGTCCTGTGGAGACCTCTGTTTTAAAAGCAAATAGTTAATTTCCAGTTTACTAATCTTTCTTTTTCTCTAATAAAGCTTTCATATTGGGTTTTCTTTAAGTATTATATACTTGTGCCCAAAAAGAAAGTTCTCTCAACAACAATATATTATAGGAGGTCACATAACAACTGTATAATCATTCCCCAAAAAGGTTCTTTAAAATTAGTTTGACCATTGTGGAAAACAGTGTGGTGATTCCTCAAAGACCTAAAGACAGAAATGCCATTTGACCCAGCAATCCCATTAGAGTTCCCAAAGGAATATAAATTGTTCCACCATAAAGACACATGCATGCGTTTGCTCATTGCAGCACCATTTACAATAGCAAAGACACGGTATCAACCTAAATGCCCATCAGTGATAGACTGGATAAAGAAAACATGGTACATATATACCTTGGAATACTATGCATTCATAAAAAAGAAACAAGATCATGTTCTTTGCAGGAATGTGGACGGAGTTGGAGGCCTTTTTCCTTAGCAAAATAACACAGGAACAGAAAACCAAATGCTGCATGGTCTCACTTGTAAGTGGAAGCTAAATGATGAGAATACATGGACACATAGAGGGGAACAACAGACACTGGGGCCTATCAGAGGATGGAGGGTGGCAGGAGGGAGAGGATCAGGAAGAATAACTAATGAGTACTAGGTTTAATGCCTGGGTGATGAAATAATCTGTACAACAAATCCCCGTGACATGAGTTTACCTATATAACAAACCTGCACATGTGCCCCTGAACTTAAAATAAAAGTTAATATAATAATAATAATAATAATAATAATAAAACAACTATTGGTAAAATTTTTTTTAAAAATTTTTTTATGTGACAACTTTTGTTCAGACGTGGGATCTTTCCCAGATGAAGTAGCATGTTCCAACAAGAGCAGATTCTAGATGAGATTCTAGGTGGCCAAGAAATACAAGATGATATTTCTATTAAGACACAAAATTGTTCTATAGTGGAACACCAGCCCCTCCAATTTCCCCAAGTGGACTGTCCACTGGCTGCTCTATTACCTACAGTACTCAGTGAACTCTTTTCTCATTTCTTTCAACCACAGAGTTTATCAGCCCAACCTTGTTCTAATTACTGGCTTCCAAGTTTTCACACCTAGAGGCACAACTATGTACTAATGAAACTTTGGGGTCAGATGAATTCAAATTTGAATAGTATGACTGATCTCACTCCCACTTTTGTGGCTAGAGATGGGCTAGATCCTGTGACTGAGCAAAAGTAGAGAGAGAGGGAAGTGGTTTCTCTCAAAGAGTGCTCAGCAGATAAACACAAGCCCATTTTGCACTAGATCAGGAGAGAGAATGTTGGTTCAAATCTAAGATGCAGAGCAGGTTGGTTAAGGACTAAGTTAGTTGATCATTTCCTAAGACAAGACTAGGACTAACAGCAAAGGTGATATGGATACTATCAAGATGAGAGGAGAAGTGGGCAAACTGAAAACTAGTTCAAGGTCTAATTTTACAAACATGACCTACCCACTGTGGCATCCATCTTATGCTTAGCCTGATGTGCTTTGGTAGAGGAAGCACCAGCCATAGGAGTCTGCATTTGCCAATGGTGCCTTAGAAGAAAGGGAAAGCACTGGAACAGGTCAGCAAGTCCCATGCTAATGGGATTCATATCAAGCTGGGTCAAGTTGGGGTGTAGATCTCTCATTGAGAGCTAAAGCATGGCTCTAAAATCAGGGAAAGCAGAGCCATAGAAAGCAATCAAATCTGAAGAAACCAGAGGAGGGATGGAGATGGAGGCTGTAGAACAAGGTGGAAATGGAAGCTGGTGGAGAACAATAAGGTAAGGACCTGATCAAATCCCTCAACCATCAGGGGTTGCTGCTGGTTTGGAAATGTGGACAAGTTGGAGTATAAATCTGGTTTGATCTGGTGGGACAATTTAAAAGACCAGGAACAGAAAAAAAAAAAAAAAAAGATGTACTTTACAGACCACCTTCTACCCTAACATAGGAAAGCTTTAGTTTCTGTTTCTTGTCCTGGTTTACCCAAGGGTGAACTTAATGGTTCCATGAAAAGGATACATACACTTTCTGTTGATCTAAAATCAAGTCAGGTTTAGACGAAGTCTCTAAAGAGCCTTTGTCACACTTAGAACTCCAACCATGTGAGGTCAGATTGGGGAGGCTAGGGGAAGGCAACTAGGGTTTACAGGTCTCTCTAAAATATGATCACTTACCCTTTCCTCACCAGGCAGAGCCTCAGTTACCAAAGAGTAGGAAAATAGCCACATGTCTGGGTTGCTACAGAAGAGGATTTGTGGCTTGAGTCCTATTAAGAGGAACTGAGAAGTCATAGGCCTATGGTATAGATTTCGTTCTCTTAGTCCAGGGGAAAACAATTTAAGAAGGGCAAGCATCAACTTCCATGCCTTTATTTGGACCTCCCAATATCTCCTTCAAGTAGATGACACGATCCACTTTTCCCCAAACAAGTGCCTAATAGTGAGCTTTAGACCATTGTCTCAGGCACAATGTCACAAAGACGTCCCCAGACATGTAAAGGGGATGGGGCAAGGAGAGAACAGCTGTTGAGCAGAAAACCAGTAGTGTCTGTTGCTGGGGCGATTGGGCTGTCCTTTTGATTTATTTCCCGAATAGAGGCAAACCCACATCATTTGAAAGGCATTTTAGGAGATGAAATCTGCCTCCATGAGATCATGGATATTGTTGATGTCCTAGCTCAGGAGTAAGCAATTCCATTTTAAACTCCTGCTATGATGTGACTCTCCAAAAAACATTTCCTAAGTTACATGTAAAAGCAAGTCATTAAAAAAAATGCAACTTGCTTTTATTTCTATGTTTAGCCTGCAGTTCATCAAACCTCACCCTCTGGGCTAGCAGCCCACAAATATCTCATAGCACTTACTAAAGTGTGTAATGATTTGATGAATTTGTTTATATCTCTGCCTCTCCCTCCACCTTTACTGTAAGGCTCATCTGTCTTGTTCACCATTCTGTCTGAAGCATGTAGCACCAAACCTGGCCATAGTAGTCATTCAATAAAAAGGCTGAATGAATAAAGGAATGAATGAAAATTTTGGGTTGGTAAATTGCAAGGCCTCTCTTTAGAGCACAAGAGGCACCTAGCACTAGCGGCATCTTCACCAAATTTTTATTGAACCCAAAGGACTGTTTTTAATGCTTGCCCCTGTAGGTCCTGCTGAGGATCCCTGGTGTGCAGTAGGGAACACCATGAGGAGGAGGCACCATGAGGAAAGGCACCCTTTCCACTGATTTACATCACCATTTGTACATGGAGTTCGGCTACAGCAAAATCCATTGCTATCTCACCAGCTACAAGAAGCAAAGAATCAATTGTAATTCATTTTTGTGCTCTAGGACTTTGGTTGAAGGTAAGAGAAAAGAAGTCTTGTCTTTCCAGTTCTCAAGGGACCTCAAACTCCTCATTTTTTTTTGCTGTGTACCAAGCTCCCAGAGACGACTTAAAATGAACTCCATCCTGAAACAAATGAAACACTGGCTACATAAATACTGCCCCAGCTTTGAGATGTGTGGTCTTTGGACCACTTTTCCTTCTGGGCAGAAAAGCAAAGAGTAGAGTCTCTAGTGAATGTGAGAGGATGAAAGAATGGGTGGGCTTCAGATGGGTACTAGGCAGTTGAGACTCTGATGATCATGGAATAGTTGTATCTATTCAGAGAGAAGGAAAAAGGGATCAAGCTGAGGGTAGGAGGGCATGGGTAGGGAAACCAAGTGTATGGAAGAATCCTTTAAAAGAATGACAGCTAAGGTGGGAAATGAGTGAGTATCTGGACAGCAAGCTGGGGGACCAGAAAGTTGAGTACAGTAAATGCTATCTCTGCTGCTATTGTTTCTCCAGCTTCTCTGCTCTTCCATGGGTGCTTTCTGTGGCTGGGATTCCCTCAGGCGAGTCCTGGGGAGCCTGAGTGGTGACACAAAAGATGAGGAAGAGAGAAAACTGGGAGGTATTTCAAGAGCTTCTTCCCCCACACTCTTCTTCATTTCCTCCTGCAATCTGGTTTCAGGATTTCCTCCTGCAATCTGGTTTCAGGACTAAAGATCCACTGTGGAAAAAGATTCGGATTCCCGCCTTCCAGGGCCCCAGACTGCCAATTTTTCTCTTTGCACAGACCATAAAATCCTGTATGGTTTTTATTAACCTTCCAGCAGGGGCCCTGCTTATTTGATGATTCATTATAAGGGGAATGGAAATCGTTAGAAAAGATTTTCAGCTAATGGGTAAAATGTGTGGGGCAGCTCCTAGCCAGGCTGCTGCTGCCTCGGAGTTCACTTTCTTTCGGTGGTCAGTCTCTGGCTCAGTGTGGAAAGGACACCCTGCTTGCCTAGAGACCAAGCTCTCTTTTGGGGAGCAGAATGCCCTGGGCTGGACTAGCATGAGCAGGCTGAGGGTGCTTGGAGAGCCAGTAGAGGCATGAAGAAGCTTGTCTCCTAGGTTGCTAGTTCAAATCTCAAACTGAGCTGAGGACAGGGAGAGGAGATGTTCACTGAGGATGTTTCTTTGTTTCCCTCACAGAATGGTTGGTCTCCAATGAGGTTCAATTTCCAGGAGGTGGTGTTGCCTCATTTATCCTCACACCTTAAGGAATCAGCTATCTGGCACAAGGCAAAATGGGGCCAATTGCTTCACCATGAGGATATTCTCTTCTTGCAGCGGAAGCAGGATTTAGGGCAGGGCTGATCTCAGAGGACCAAGGCCTGGATGACTTCTCTTTTCTGTCTATATCCTCTCCCAAGGTGATCTCATCCAATCCCATGGCTTTAAACACCAACACCCAAATTTGTATCTTCAGTCCCGACTTCTGCTTTTCAACTTCAGCTTCATTATCTACAATTGCCTCCTTGTCATCTCCATTTGGATATCTGAACATGTGCAAACAGCCTTCCGGAACCGTCTACCAACATCTCAAGAACATCCTTCTTCTAGTTGCTCAGGCCAAAAACCTTGACTCCTCGGTTTGTCTCACAACCCACCTCCACAGTAAATCATTTTCACTGCCATGAAACACATCCAGCTCTCTGCCATCTGCACTGCTATCCCCCGGTCCAAGGCACCGCCATCTCGCCATTGTCACTGTCATGGCTTCCTAGCAGGTCTTGCTTCTGCTCCACCTGTCTTCTGTCTATTCACACCCAGCAGCCTGGGTGACTCTTAACATTTGAGTCAGGTCATGTCACTCTTTCCATTCAGAACCCTCCAGCACCTCTCATCTAATGCAAAGAAAAAGCCAAAGTCCTTACAATGGCCACAGAGGCTCTGATGATCTGCCCTGGCCCTTCCCTGTCTGACTTCATCCCCCATGGCTCTCAGCTTTGCTTATTCCCCTTCTGCCACTCTGACCTCCTAGCTGTTCTCACCTCAGTTTCCCTCCACGGGAGTTCCCTCCCGGATATTCACGTGGTCACTCCATCTTTTCCTTCGGGTCCCTTTCCTTTGGGTGAGATCTTCCTTGACCATCCTCCATACAACAGCAAAATCATACCTCTGGAACTGGTCATCCCATCACTGCAGCATAAACAATTCTCTGTGGCATTTCCTCGTCGTTCATATATGCTTTTCTTCTTTTAGTGATGGTCAGTCAGGTGTGGCCACAAGAGGAGGCACAAGAGAGGTTCAGGGAAACAAAGTTTATTTTACTCACAGGTTCTGCAGACAGGAGATACACCACTCCATGGAAGACCACATGGGGAAGCGTTGAGGTAGTCAGGAGGCAGAGGACGAAAGAAAGGCAAACACATTAGGCCAGAGCCTTTTGGGGGCTTTCCATGGGAAAGGCAAGCAAGGGGGGTAAACTGTTCAGAATTGGCTAGTTTGACTCTTTCCAGCAGGCTTTAAACTCTAGGGGTGGTGCCTAGTTGCCTGATGCCTGGCTCTGGGATGATTAAGGCAGATGGATATTGCTTGTTTGGGGGGCATGGGCAAAATCAATGAGCTATAGCTCTGGATTCATTAGTTTGCATAACAAAAGCTTGTGCCAGATGAGCATTTTGCTACCTTTTAAGAATCAGCTAGGCCTAGGAGGGACAGTCTGTCCCCAGCCAGAAAAGTTTTTAAAGATGTCAAAGCATTATAATATACAAAAAATTAAAAATACTTACAATACAGTATATTCTCCATCACTACCACAATGTAAGTTCCATGAGAACAGGGACTATTTCTCTTCTGTCCACTGTTCTAGCTGCAGTGCCTAGAATAGTGCCTGAGATACAATAATTGCTTAATAAATATTTGTCAAGTGAATGAGTGAATGAACAAATGAATGGATTTCTAATCTCCCCCCACCCTCTGATCCCAGGAGCCCTATTGTTTCTGGAGCCACCATTTCAGTTTCCTTAAAAATAAAGGGAGGGACGGTGAGGTTTGATAGTTTTATTTGAAGGTAGAGCTTCTAATGACCTTATAAGGACAACATTAAACTTAGAAAACATCTATCAAGATCCATTAATTTTTTTTTTTTCCATTTTGCCTGACTCATTTGATGAGAACAACAAGTTCACATGCAGTGAGGAATTCAGATGTAGGAAGGGTGTCAGAAGCAGGGCGGGAGAAACATTTTATTGTTTACTGAAATACAGGTCACCTCACCTGTTTCATTTTTTTAGATAAATGTTTTTATCTTTTCTTTTTTAAAGTAGAGAATACATACAGAAAAGTCCACAAAGCTTAAATGAATTACTGCTGAATCGTTGCAAAGTAAACACACCCATACAACACCACTCAAGTCAACAAATAGAACATTGCCAGCACCCAGAGCACTCCCTGTGCCCCTTATGGAATCACATGACATGTATTCTTCTATAACTAGCTTCCTTCATTCTACATGATATTTGTGAGGTTCATCAATGTCGTGCATAGCAGTGATTAATTTATGTTCATTGTGTACAGTATACCATTTTATGAATATACCACAGTTTATCTGTTCTATTCTTGATGAACTTTGGGTTGTTTCTATCTGGGGCTCTTATGAATAATACTGCAATGAATATTTTTGTGCATGTCTTTGATGAACACAAGCTCTCATTTCTGCCCGATATATACCAGTAATGGATTCGAAAGGTTTTGTACAGACTACATTTAGGTTTAGTAGATATGCCAAACTTTTCCCTAAATGGTTGTTTTATTCTAAGTTCTCACCAATGAGAGTTTCAGTTGTTCCACATTCTCACCACCATGTAGTATCATCTGAAATTTTAATTATTTTCATTCTTGTGGGTGTATAGTGATACATCAATATGATTTTCATTTGTATTTTTCTGATGACTAGTGAGATTGATCACCTTTACATGTGTTCATTGGCCGTTCTATTTCTATGAGGTGCCTGCTCAAGTATTTTGCCTGATTTATTTTCAGTTAGGCTGCCCGTTTTTTTTTTTTTTTTTTTTTGTAGAATTCCTTAATGTCTTAATTTTGTAATTAGAGATGGAGTATCACTATGTTGCCTAGACTGTTATCAAACTCCTGAGCCCAAGTGATCATCCCACCTTAGCCTCTCAAAGTACTGGGATTACAGGTGTCAGTCACTTCGCGTGGCCTAAGAGTTCTTTATATATTCTGAATGTGAATCCTCTATCAGTTATATGTATAGTGAGTCTCTTTTCTCACTCTATGACATCTTTTAAAACATCTTCTTAATGGTATCTTTTGATGAACCAACATTTTTAATTTTATGAAATTTAATGTATAAATATTCTTCTTTATAATTAGTACTTTTTTGTGTCTTATTTAATAGTATTTGCCTACCCCTAGGCCAAGAAGCTATTCTCCTATATTAGCTTTTAGAAGCTTTCATATTTAAATCTACAGACCAAATAAAATTGATTTTTTTTTTGCTGTGGTGTGAGGCAGGAGTTGAGTTTCATTCTTATTTCCACTCGGATATCCATTTGACTTAGCACCATTTATTGATTAAGACCCACTACTCTGAGGTGCCACCTTTTTCATAAATTAAGTGTTTGTATATGGCATGAGTCTCTTTCTGGGCTCTCTATTCTGTTCCACTGTTGCATTGTTCTTTGTTGTGCTGATGCCACATGGTCTTCATTACTGTAGCTTTACAATAGATCTTGATGTGTGGTCATGTACATCCTCCAACTTTGTTCTTTGATGTGAGCTTAGCTATCCTTGGCTCTTTGTCTCACTACCTTACTTTTATGTAGGATAGAAAGCATTTTTTTTTCTTTCTGAGACAGAGTTTCACTTTTGTTGCCCAGGCTGGAGGGCAATGGTGCCATCTCAGCTCACTGCAACCAATGCCTCCCAGGTTCAAGCAATTCTCCTGCCTCAGCCTCCCGAGTAGCTGGAATTACAGGCGCCCGCCAAGATGCCCAGCTAATTTTTGTATTGGTAGGAGAGACAGAGTTTCACCATGTTGGTCAGGATGGTCTTGACCACTCCTGACTCCTGACCTCAGGTGATCCACCTGCCTGAGCTTCCCAAAGTGCTGGGATTACAGGCATGAGTCACCACGCCCAGCAGAAAGCATCTTTAAAGGTAAAGTGCCTTCTCATTTTGAGGTGCCCTCACATCCACCTAGACTACCATCTCTGGAGTAATAAAGTCATACCCACACTTCATTCTTCAAGTGGCCCCTAGCATAGGCCTCACTGCCATTCCAGGCAGTGACTGGCCCCTGGTTCTTCTCATCCTTCCTGCGTTACCTCCACTGGCACTTTCTTGTGTGCAGCAGATATATGCACCACAATTCTCTGCAAGTTTCAGCTACTAATACTAACTCTAGTATTTCTAGTAATAAATAAAATGTATTGTGTTCTGACTGTGTCAGGCATTGTGTTAAGTGCTGTGCCTGAATTACCTTATTTAATCCTGACCATCACCCTAGGAAGTAAATATCCTTTGCCTTCCCCTTAAGGATTTACACTATCCTCTCAAGGATCCTGATTTCCCCAGCCATTTTTTTCCTTCTCTGTTAGTTTCAATGTTTCCATAGAATATAGCTTTTCTGAGCTAGAAGGGACCTGAGAGACATTTGATTTGACAAATGAGGAAATGAATGCCCAGAGAGAGGACGGATTTACCTTGGGCCTCCTCAGCTCATTATTGGCAGAAAAAGGATTAGAATTCAGGTCTCTTGACTCCAGGACAATGTGCTTCTCTCACACACATTTCCCAGGTTCAGCACCCGGCAAACAGACTAGTCTCCTCCTACCCAATTTACTTCCTTCCTGTTTCCATTTAAATTTCTTCAGTCTTGTCTATGATGTTAGCTACTTCGACTTCCTCATCTACTGTTCTCTCTTTGACCACTCCAATCTTACTTCCTCACTGCAACTGCTCTCACTGACTTCCACCCATGACTTCCACGTCACACAGCCCTGTGGCCTCCCCTCTCTCTCATCTTCCTTAACCTCTCAGCTAACTTCAACCCACATGATTTTTCCCCTCTTTCTTTTTTTTTTTTTTTTCTTTTTATTATACTTTAAGTTCTAGGGTACATGTGCCTCACAAACACGGCTGAAGGTGATTGAGGAGCAAAGTAACATGTTACATAGTGGCAGGCAAGAGAGCTTGTGCAGGGGAACTCTCATTTATAAAACCATCAGATCTCATGAGACTTATTCACTACCATGAGAACAGTATAGGGAAACCACTACCATGATTCAATTATCTCCACCTAGTCTCAACCTTGACGTATGGGGATTATTACAATTCAAGATGATATTTGGGTGGGGACACAGCCAAACCATATTGATAGCTCCAATCCTGACTTTGCTCTTGAGTTCTAAGCTTTGAACTTCTTACTTGATATCTTTGTTTGGATGTTGTCATAATTGGGTTTTCTATAAAACAAAGCCTGAAGCAAGAATTAAGGTGCCAACAGTTTAATTGAGAGGTGCAAGTTCAAGGTATTGCATGTAGGAGCAAAAGGGAAGGGAGGTCAGGGAAAGTATATAATATATGTATTGTGATATGATGAATGATATGATGTGGTGAGCCACATTACCATTTTGCCCACCTCTTCACAGAGCTGCAAAGAGACCCAGCAGGTCACTCGGAAGTTGTGTTCAGTCAGCATGTGGGACTTCTTCAGAAGAGTTACTGGAAGATGTTGAGAAGGGAATGAAGAATGTAGCTGGATGGCTCCCTTTTGGATCCCATTGTCCTTTGGGATTTACCCTTGAAGAGCTAACTCTATACTTCCCGTATGCATAATCATTATCATAATACTTATTCCTTTACTATGCATGAAGCCACCTTGTCATGTGATGTTTTATTCAAGTCTGAAAGTGAAAAAGTGACCCAGAGCTTATTCTTTCTCTCTCTCCTGGCCAGGCCTCTATCAGCTCCATAAGTGTTTGCTGAATGAATGAGTGATAGGATGAACTGCAGGTGAACTAAGGGATTAACTGTGTGGCAAGGAATACATGTTTGCCTGAATTTTTATCTGGTTAGGTTGTTCTACAACTAAAAAGTCTTTGGGAATAGGGAATATGGGCAAATTGAAGGGTATTATTTAGGTCCTGCTAGCATTCAAGGTGAGCTTAGGGATAAGTTAACAGCCTTTCTCCTGTCCCCAATTTTTAAAATTAGACTTTTAAAATTGAGATAGTTATAGGTTCACATCTAATTTAAGAAATCATACAGGGATTCCTTGTACCCTTCTCCAGTTTCCCCTAGTGGTACATCTGGTAAAAAAAAAAAAAAAAAAAAAAAGATGTAATATCACAACCAGGATGTTAACATTGATACAATAAAATACAGTGCATTCCTTCACTGTAAGGATTCTTCATGCTTTCTTTTTACAGCCACCCCCACCTCCCTCCTGACACCACCTCCTTAACCCCTGGCAAGTCCTAACCTGTTCTTCAGTTCTACTATTTTCTTATTTCAAAAGCCTTATGTGACCGTTTGAGATTGGCCTTTTTCACTCAGCACAGTTCTCTGGAGATTCACGCAGGTGTTTGCACGCATTGGTAATTCATTCCTTCTTATTGATGAGTAGCATTCCATGGTATGAATGTGTCACAGCTTGTTTAAGCATTTGCCCATTGAAGGACATATGAGTCATTTCCAGGTCTTGGCTATTTTGAATAAAGTTGCTATACATATTCAAGCACAGGCTTTGTGTAAATATGTGTTTTTATTTTTCTGGGATAAATGATTAAAGACAACCCAACCATTGTTGGGTTGTATAGTTATTTAAGAAACTGCATATTGATTTATAGGGTGGCTGTACCATTTTACAGTCCCACCGGCAATATATAAGTGATCCAGCTTCTACACATGTTCACCACATTTGGAAAAATTGAGAAGTGTTATGTAGATCCTGCCGGAGTTCCAGGTGAGTTTGGGGATTCCTTAACAGCCTTTCTTTTCCCCCAACTTTTAAAAAGACTGATGTTCCATCCCTAGTTTGGCTCAGATGGGGGATTACATTAACGATAAAAGCCAACCACCATCTAGATAAAACAGTCCACCAAGCCAAGTCCATCATTTTCCTTTAGGACAACATGAAAGGAAACTCATACACTTTCTGAACTTCCTAGTTAACTGTAAATAATGTCAGAAAAGATGAACCATCCTTTGAGGTTTTTGAGGAGAGTATGTGGCAGGACTCAGGCTGAGACCTTGATAAGCCATAGGATACCACACACTTAGGCCAAATCAGGCAGGGAGGAGACACCTTGTATTAGTCCACTCTCATGCTGCTATGAAGAAATGCCCAAGACAGGGTAATTTATAAAAGAAACAATTTTAATTGACTCAAAGCTCTGCAGGGTTGGGGAGGCCTCAGGAAACTTATACTCATGGTGGAAGGAAGAGGAAACATGTCCTTCTTCACATGGAAGCATCAAGAAGAAGTACGGAGTGAAGCTGGGTGGGGAAGCCCCTTATGAAGCACCTTATGAACTCATTCATTATCACAAGAACAGCATGGAGGCAACCGCCCCCAATGATTCCATTACCTCCCACCAGGTCCCTTCCATGAAGGGGGATTATGGGAACTACAATTCAAGATGAGATTCAGGTGGGGATACAGCCAGACCATATCACACCTTGACCACGTTTTTTATAAACTCCAGGTAGAGGGACTTTGCAGATGGAAGTGGCAACAGCAGAAATGCACATTTGAATGTATGTTACCTTGCCTGAGCCCAACCTGGATTAAAGGCTGCTTCTAAGAGGGAAAAACTTAGCTTTAATGTTTGAAACCACGGTCATCTTGGAATTTTCTTTTTTCAGGGGCTTCAGAAGACAAAATAGAGAGGCAGAAAAGTCTGTCTTCAGCTCCTTTCATGGTGGCTCACAGTGTCTCAGCCTTGTTTCTACTTTCTCTGGGTGTCTAGCTACTCCCGAGCCCTCCCTCTCTTCCTCAGCCTTGCCCTTCTCTCATCTTCTCAAAGTAATCTGTTTTCCAACACCTTAATGATTACTATTTTATTTAACATATACTTATATAGTGATTACTATTTTCCAGGCATTGTTTTATGGTTTTATAAATATGAGCTTCATTAAAACTCATAACAATCCTATGAGGTAGAAATTATTAATTTCCCAATTTCACTGATGAGGGAACTTAGGTACAGAGAATTCAGGGATCTTGCTCATAAGTGGCAAAGATGAGATTCAAAACCCAGGCAATCACTCCAGAATCCATGCTCTTAATCACTACAGTATGATGACTTTCTATGGCTGACAAATATGCTTTAAAACAGCAGTTCCCAACCCTTTTAGCACTAAAGACTTGTTTTGTGGAAGACAATTTTTCCATGGACCAGGGGCAGGGATGGTTTGAGGATGATTCAAGCACATTACATTTACTGTGTACTTTATTTTTATTATTGTTTCATTATAATATATAATGAAATAATTATACAACTCACCATAATGTAGAATCAGTGGGAGCCCTGAACTTGTTTATCTGCAACTAGACAGTCCCATCTGGGGCTGTTGGGAAACAGTGACAAGATTATCAGGTATTAGGTTCTCATAAGGAGCATGCAACCTAGATCTCTCACACACACAGGTCAAAATAGGGTTGGCGTTGCTATGAGAATCTAGTGCCACCGCTGATCTGACAGGAGGTAGAGCTCAGGTGGTAATGTGAGCAATGGGGAATGGCTGTAAATACAGACGAAGCTTCAGTCAGTCATCCAGGGGTTTGGGACCCCTGCTTTAAACTATTCTCTTTCTCATGACCTTTGGTATTTTGGAAAGGCAAAAAGCCTTCAGCTGAAAGAGTGAAACATTTGGGACTTCAGATGGCAAGTGACAGGTCTATCTGGGGCCACCCCTGCCTTTCAGGTGCCCTTCATACATATCATATCCTATCACCCAGGCTGAGGGATGCCCAGGTCACCCACATGGAAGAATTTAGTGCATACAGCGGCTCTATCTTGTGCAGGTTATTTCAAAGAAATGCAACTAACATTTAGGAAATGGAATTACTATGTGCCAGAGATTGCGCTAGGAGGTGTACTTGTGCTATATCATCATCCATGTAGGGCAGGTAGTATTAACTCTCTCTTAAATAAATTAGGAAATTGAAGGATCAAGTGGTAAATGGCTAGGTAATTAACGTAAGTCACACAACTTGAAATGGCAGTCCCAGGTCTGCCTTAACCCAACATCTGGTCTCTTTTTACAACACAAACTTGATTATAGAAAGGTTAGAGCTTCTAGTTTTGTGTTCTTTATTTTTAGTCAGAATGCCAGTTTTGGCAAATAACAAGGTAAGAATAGAACTTTCCATTTCCTCGCCAGTGAATCAGTTACTCCCCCAGATTTTTTCATTTTAGACCATGGCTCTACCACTAGCCCAGGGGCCCAAATAAAAAACTCAAGACTTGGCCGTTCCCTTTCCTTTACTCTATTTTCTGTTTCTGCAGTTTACCATCAAGTTATGTCAATTCTATCTCCAAAGTACATTATGACATATCTATTTCTGTGCACCCCAACCCCCAGCAGACCTGAGTCCAGGCCTCATCATCCATTGCCCACACTACATCAACAGTACCTTCCTCTGCACACCTTGTCCACCCCACAATTTATCTTCATAGAGATGTGTATGCTTTTCTTAGGATGTGTATTGGATCTTGTCCCTTTGTTATTTAAGAGTTTTCCAGCTGGATTTGATGTCACTTTCCCATGCTGTCACTAATTCCCAGCCACAACAGAATGGGTCACACGCTTCTGCACTTTAGACCCTTCGCCCATGCCAGAGTCATCCCCTGACCCTCTTCCCATGGCTGTCACCTCTTCAAAAAGGTCCACTGAACCTGAAGTAGATGTCCTCCCTCTATTAAGATTCAGTGTATCAAATCCACCCCTTCAAAGTCTTAGACTAGCACCTGGCATACAGTAAGTACTCAATTAATGTCAGCTTTTGTTTTTGTTTTGACCGTTGTTATAGTGAATATTCTAAAAATACATGCCTAGATGATGAGATAAATGGAGTAGGGAAGAGAAATCACATCAATATCTGGGCCCCAGGGGCTTCTAAGAGAGGCAGCTTAGATATTTTTAAAGGAGAAACAATGTAGTCTTATAAATCCTCCTTCCTGCCTTAAAAATAAATGTTATGGCTATGATTGTCAAATACACAAGTACTACATGCATAATGGAGGCATGTTTTACAATAGTAGTGTAAAATATATTTAAAAAAATGCAAGAACACTTAAACTATATTTTTAAAAGCAGCATTGAGACCTGTCTGATTGATTTTCCTAAACAGGTTTTGCCCCAGTTCTTGCAGATCTTCATCAGGTTTTTTTCTGACTTAGCAACAAATATCTAAAATAAAGTTTATCTTTTTAATTTCTAGTCTCCTTGCTGACAAAATAGGAAATGACTTCTGAAGACATGAAAAAAAGAAACGGGGTGAAGATAAATTGGGTTAGAATAACCCATGACCTAGATCATTAAACTTTGTCTAATGAAGAGCTGCCTTTTAACAGAGTTAAAAGTGATAGCACCATGGCCTCTCACCCAACAGGGTTTGAGGCTGGACCCTTCTTTGACAAACAATGCCCTGATTTATGCACAAAGATGCCCATCATAGCATTATTTATAATATTCCCTGTCCAATGCTGGGGTCCTAGTTCAATTAGCTATAGAACAGCCATTTGATTAAATATTATAAAGCTGTTAAAATAATAGGAACAAAGAAATTTTGAAACATGGGGAAAACCTTGATGTTGTAATATTAAACGAATGAAGAAATTCTATGAATGAAAGTCATTAAAACACATCTTTACAGTAGCTGCACTGACTGCACATTTACTTTCATTCAGGCATCATTTCCGAATGTGATACAGGAGGGCCAGCCTGGCAACAAGACGGGAACCTCTCGATCCATGGCACAGTGCTGTCGACCCCTAAGTTCTTCCTCTTGATCTAAACTCAGGTTTGGAAGTACACCAAAATATTAATACTATACATCATTGCAAGCTTTCCTTCTTTGATCCTCTGTATTTTGCAAATGTTCCAACACCTTTTAAAGTACACTTCTGTTCTCTTTTAAAGTCTCCTTGGGAACTTCTAAAAGGCAGCTGCTGTGGGCTCGCATCATCCATCCTTCCCCCAGCAAATGTGTAAATAAAGAAACGCCTCTGTGCCTTTAAATTGTAACAGGCTAAACTTTCTCCTGTAAGTTGATACTCAGACCAGAAGTCTGTGGGTAGGATGAGTGTTGTGTTTTTTTGTTGCAGCTT